ACAGGGGTAGCAGGCCAGAGCCGAGAGATTTGAGGAGCTGAGGTGGGCAAAGTGTTGTGACGACAAGAATTTCCATCGGGCGTCCCCTAGTGTGATGGGAAACTTTTCAGAGAGAAAAATGTTCTAAATCACAGAGGAACTGTATATCTTGTCCTTGTGAATGGAGCCCAGTGGGGGTTGAGAGGGGCTTCCTGGCACTTTTGTGTGGCTTCTGTAGTAACAGCAAACAAAGCAGGCAGCTTGGGGTGACACTTACCCAGTAGAGAAGGAGAAGGGTATACAAAAATCTATACAAATCAATACAACTATTTTGGAGACTAGTTGTTGCTTCCTATATATAGCGAGACTATCTCAGACCTGCCAGCGTTATAAATAACGACACAGAGGCTCATTAATATTTTAAAGCGTAGGCCTTTTGCTGGTCAGGAGAGTAGTCTAATCCTGGCACTACGTCCCACCATGTGGCTAGGTCTACTCTGCTCCTCTCAGGCCTGCTTCACCTCCTTGTCAGCTGATGAATCTCTCGGCCTCTCCTTTTCTCCCAGTGTCTACTTCCTGCCCAGCTATTGGCTGTCAGCTCTTTAATAAAGCCAATCAGATACAGCTCTAGACTGCCTTAGGCAGGTGAAGAAGGAACAAGTATTTATAGAAACATGAGAGCAGCAATGGGTTATTAGCTCTGTGCTGATACAGAACTAACACTTAAATATACAGAGACACACCTGCATGGTGTACCTCTACAGCTCCCTTAGTCCAAAAGAAGCTACACGAATAACTAAGGGCCCAGTAGAACTGAGACATATTAGAATTGTTGCTTTATGCCATGTGGCCATCTTAAGATGGTGGAGTCACGTGGTATGTACCCTTTGACCTTAGTAAAGATGGCTGCCAGCCATGTGGCTACATACATCTTGTTGAGATTGTTTGCCAAGATGGAGGAGAGCTACATGGTTGCTATTTAAAAACATATTTCCATAAAGACAAGTTGAATCACAAATACAGGATGTTGCAGCAAATTAAAATTCTTATGTAGAGGTTTTAACTATAAATCTTTTGTTATAAAGTTGTAAGCCAAATTCTGTTACAGATTCTTTAACTATACCCAGTGAAATTACAACTCTTGAGATAAGAGTTTACAGCATAGCCTTAAGTTGTTTGTTTGTTTTGTTTTGTTTTTGAGAACACAGTGCGCAGGGCAGTGGTGGCACACGCCTTTAATCCCAGCACTTGGGAGGCAGAGACATGAGGATTTCTGAGTTCGAGGCCAGCCTGGTCTACAGAGTGAGTTCCAGGACAGCCAGGGCTGTACAGAGAAACCCTGTCTCGAAAAACAAAACAAAACAAAACAAACAAAACAAACAAACAAAAAAACCAAAACAAAAAACGAGAGAGAGAACACAGTGCAAAGAAATCATAGAAATACAATATTTTAGAATGGAAAAGTTGTAGAGCCTTAGAGATAAGAGACGTGGGGATCATCTGCTTGTTGGTGGCAGAAGTTGTTATTATCTGGGAGAATCTGGAAAGCAAGTGTGCCAGACTTGGGGCCTTTGATCTGTGTTGAGGCAAAGCTGTAGTAATAAAATCTGAGCCCATGGAGGAAGAGAGAGGGCAGCAAAGCAGAACATCAGGGTTGAGGGAGGAGAAGTTCTCATGAGCTCCAAGAGGGAGCTGAGAGGGAACAAGGTGTTGGATTGCGGGCAGGATCTGAGGGTCATAGTGGGACTGCAGGTGGGCTGTTCTGAGAGTCAGCATAGTAGGACTGCAGGTGGGCTGTATCTCCTAGGGGCAGGCATGGGAAAGGGGACCAGGAAGTAGAGACTCAGAAGATTGTCCACATGGTGGAGGTTCCAAAAGGGAGGAACAGGAGGCCGCAGGAGACAGGCAGATGCTTCTGGAGCTCCAAGTGGGAGAAAGAAAGGAAGAGTCCCCAGCTGCTATAGGCAGAACTGCAGCTCCTAATAGAGACCCAAAACAATGCAGCAGGAGGAGAGAGCAGGAGAAAAGGGAGACAGCTACGTTGGTGTACAGGCTAGAGGCATAGCAGGCTGCAGGAACCAGTGCCCACGTGGAGGGAATAAAAGGCCCGAGCCCAGAGAGACAGGAGCAGCAGTTAGAAAGCAGGTGGAGGAAGCAACAGCTGGAGAATCAGACTCCAGAATTTGGAATCAAATCTTGTGGGTGGCAAAAGCCAGCAGAAACAAATGATCCATACTTACCTTAGGAGAGTCAGATCTGCAGCTCAGTCTAGAACAGCCACGGTCCCCAAAAGGGAGCTCATTTATGCCATTCCTGTGGTTTTGGCACAAAATAAACAAGTGAAAGAAATAAAAAGTAAAAGAAAAGGAAACACGATGGTATGATGAAGAAGGTTTATTATAGTTACATGGGAGAACACAGCCAGAGGCAGGAATCCTGGGAAAGGCCAGAGTGGCCATAACCAGACTGAGCTGTGCCATGTGAGGAGAGGGGGAGGGGAAAGGAGAGCAGAGAGAGGGCAACCTGGTACGGTACCCAGGAGGCCCAAAGGTTCAAAGAGAGTGGGTAGCCAAAGTGGTTAGAGTATATAGGAAAGAGCAGCCCAGCCCCCTGGATGGAGAGTTCAGGGCAGGGGGTGGGATTTGGCAGCCAGGAGGGCCCTGGACCAGGTAGGGACTGCAGAAGTGCAGGGAGAACCTGGTGGCCAGGTCTGCGTTGATAAGTTAAATGGGCACCTGTCAGTCTTGTCATAGGTTTGAGAACTAACACATTGTGGTTGACTTCTCTGTTGTGTTTAATTCTCTTGACCATTTCACTTCTCTCTGCTCTTGTTTCCTTATCAGTGGAATGAGTGCACTGTGACCTTGAGACCGTCCGGGAAAGCTCTGAGTTCCACTGGTGAGTTTGCAGGGGTGGGGTAGCCATTCGACTGTAGACTTAAGATCCATTAGATAAAGTCCTGAGAACTGGATTTCTTCCTGCAGCCAGAATCATACAGAAGGGTGACTCAGTGACATGGGGTGTGTGGAAGTCTCCAGAAGGGTAAAGAGATCTGTCTATTCTTTCTTTAAAAAATAAAAGTGTAAGGGAAAACTTTTGACCCTTTGGAGCTCCCTTTCGTGGGGTATAAGTAAAAGAAGAACTGAGGACAGCTGGGTCTTCTGCAGGATTCTCTAAGTTAGTACGTCCAAGACACATTCATTCAATGGAACAAAATCAACTTAATGTCACTCTTGTCTACATGTGATCATATGCCAGCTACTGGCTGTTCTCATTCTGATTCCTACGTAGTATGTGCCTGCCTCAGGTTCCTATTCCTGAGGTAAAATACCACGACAGAAAGCAGCTTGAGAAGGAACAGGCTTATTTCAGACTACACTTCCACACCACAGTCCATCATCAAAGGGAAGGAACCTGGAGGTGGGAACTGCAGCAGAAGTCACTGAGGAACGTTGCCCACTGGCTAGCCTCCCAGGCTTGCTCAGCCTCCTTTCTTATGTACTCCAGGATCTCCAGCCCAGAGGTGGTCCCGCCTGTATCAATCACTAATCAGAACAATACCCCTCGGGCTTGCCCACAGGCCAGGCTTAAGGAGACACCTTCTTGGTGTGGTTCCTGCTTTTTCTGATAACTCAGCACAAACAAACAAACAAACAACAGCCTGGACAGTGCCATATTAGACCACTAAGATTCCAATTTGCTCTAATTGCCTTTTTTCTTCTATATTGTTCAGCATAGGGACGAAGACTTGGAAGACAACATTAAAACTACTTGTAACAACTCTTAATTTTCCAAGTCTCTTTGGATTTTGAATGAGTACTGAGTGCATACATAAACAGGTACGCAGGAATAGCAGTGGAAGCATTTAAGTTATTTACACTCTATGACCTAGAGAGGACATCAGAACCTAAGGAAGATTTAATACATAGTCCCCTATGCTCTTGAGTATTCTAGCCAATCTAGAGACAAAAACAACAAATAAACCAACCCCAAATCCCAGGCTAATTTAGAATTTTTATACAGTCTATAAACCCTTCTAGTTCAACTTGGGCCAAACATGCAAATGCCCTTGACTGTGGATCTCAGCTAGGCCCTCTAGAGCCTCGCTGTTTCTAGTCAAGCAGAAGATCTGAAGTGAAAATCACGCGCAGTCCGAAGCATTTTTTTTCCTCATTGGTGGTTTCTCCCACCAGCTAGAGAAGAGATTCAAAGGCTGCAAACTCTCCCAGTCTTTGATTCTTTTTAAAAGATCATTTTATTTTAACAGAACTTTTCACCTTTGGTGGTTATTAAACCAGACTGGAGCATCTGACTAGAAAATAATCCTCCCTTAAATAAGAAGGGGAGAATAAGAACTCCATATTGAAATTGATAGTTACTATCATGTAACTCCCAGGGCACTATACTTTGTGCTTGAAAACTAAGTAAACCCCTACCTAAGACTCACCCTTTTCCGTAAATAATCAAGCCAACAGAACCCCACCTTGGAGCAAGCTAGTTCTGGGGTGGAACTTTCTTGTTTAAGTCCTGCTTGTGATTTGAGGAAAGTTGCTCAGGCCCTGTAGAAGGGGAAAGGAACGTGAAAAAAAGGTATGACCCACTCAGAGCCCATCACTCGCCCACCGAGGAGTGGGAGAAGTGGGGGGAAGAGGGTAAAAGGAGAAGGAGGAGGGGGGAGAGAAGGAGGAGTCAGACAGGGAGGACAAGAAGCTAGAACCGGGTAAGGTGAGGAGACAGAGCCTGGAGAGGTGAGGAGCCTCGCCCTGCTCACCTGGGCAGGGCGCCATGCAGGGGCGGAGCCAGTCCCAGGTCGCCTGGGCGGTGGCGGAACTGAGCAGTCCGGGCGGAGGGCGAGCGCCTGGCAATCGGCCTCACCTGCGTGGGGGCTGGCGGGCGCACCTGCGCGGGCGGGCGGGCGAGGGGCGGGGAGCAGCCGTCGAGCTGAGCGGGCGAGCGGAGGCGGGAGGCCCGCCGCTGACCCGGGTTGACAGGCCGCCGCAGGCCCCGGCTGCGACCCCGCCATGACCTGGAGCGCCTCGTCGCGGGGCGCGCACCAGCCGGACAACACCGCCTTCACGCAGCAGCGCCTCCCCGCCTGGCAGCCGCTGCTGTCGGCCGGCATCACGCTGCCGCTCTTCTTCTGCGCCGGCCTGGCGTTCATCGGCCTGGGCCTGGGCCTCTTCTACTCCTCCAACGGCATCAAGGAGCTGGAGTACGACTACACCGGCAACCCGGGCACCGGCAACTGCTCGGTGTGCGCCGCCAAGGACCAGGGCCGCGCGCCGCCGCCCAGCTGCCAGTGCGCCTGGAGCTTCACGCTGCCCGAGCTCTTCCCGGGCCCCGTGTACCTCTACTACGAGCTGTCCAACTTCTACCAGAACAACCGGCGCTACGACGTGTCCCGCGACGACGCGCAGCTCAGCGGCCTGGCCAGCGCGCTGCGCCACCCGGCCAACGAGTGCGCCCCCTACCAGTTCAGATCCGACGGCCTGCCCATCGCGCCGTGCGGCGCCATCGCCAACAGCCTCTTCAACGACTCCTTCTCGCTATGGCACCAGCGCCAGCCCGCCGATCCCTTCGTCGAGGTGCCGCTCGACCGCACCGCCATCGCCTGGTGGACCGACTACCACGTCAAGTTCCGAAACCCGCCTCTGGTGAACGGCAGCCTGGCGCTGGCCTTCCGCGGCACGGCGCCGCCGCCCAACTGGCATCGGCCGGTTTATGAGCTCAGCCCGGATCCCAACAACACCGGCTTCATCAACCAGGACTTCGTGGTGTGGATGCGCACCGCGGCGCTGCCCACGTTCCGCAAGCTGTATGCACGCATCCGCCAGGGCAACTATTCTGCAGGACTGCCCCGGGGCACCTACCGTGTCAACATCACCTACAACTACCCGGTGCGCGCCTTCGGCGGTCACAAGCTCATCATCCTTAGTAACATCTCTTGGATGGGTGGCAAGAACCCTTTCCTGGGCATCGCCTACCTGGTCGTCGGCTCCCTCTGCATCATCATGGGCTTTGTCATGCTGGTCGTGTACATTCGCTACCAGGACCAGGACGACGACGACAACGATGATGAGTAATTCTGCTTCCCAAAAACCCCTTCCTGCGTCTTGGCCAAGCCGCTTTTAGCGGTGGCCCTTTGCTCAGGGATCTGTTGTGGACTAAGGGCCTAGAGAAGGGTAATTACCCGCTATAAGACTGTTCTCGGGTCTTGGACTGCAGAATGACACATCTTGCCATTTCTCCCAACTTCTCCATGTCTTACCGAGTTGACACGCCAGGTCCCTAAAGTCTACAGCGTTTCAGGGCAAAGGACTCAGAAGATTCCTGGATTGGAACTCATTAAGACCAACAGCCAGGATCCTGATTCTGAGTCTTAGCTTTTGTTCCTCCCTCAGCTTTCTGGGAGGGAGATATGAAATGGGACTGGGAAGTGTTTGGATGGAGAAGGATACCCACTGACAGACTACAGAAGCTTGGAGGAGCAGGGAAAGCATATTTGTTAAAATTTAAGTCGATAAAGAGGCACCAGGCCCTTCAGGTTCTGACACAGTAAGGCCAGGATAACCAAGCTTCTCTGGAGTGCCTGTGCCCTTGAATTTGGGAATCTTGAGCCAGGCTGGGCCTGAAGTACTCACCTGAGTTCAGTTTTTCCTGTAAGAATTTGTTTCCATGAACGGTGGCAATCATAGTAATCGTGTTTGCTCTTAAACATAGGAAGGAAGCTGGCAATCTGTGGAAGGAATGAGAAAACTTGCCAGGTCTAAGAAACTGCAGATCTGCAGGGCAGAAGTGTGTCATTAAATGTAAAAGCAAACTTAACAAGATGCCATGTAAAAATCTGAAAACGGAAGGGCAGTTTGCATGGCTAGGGGGAAGTGTTTTAACCCGAGAAACCCGGCTGCAAATGATTTTAGTGGGAAGCTGTTTCCATGGAACCTTGAGGGGACCCTTGCCTTCTTACCCCCTTTCAATCATGCTGAAGGGAATACTTTAACTCATTTGTATTATTTTCACGAACAACTATCTTAAACCCAGTTTCAACTCTCAAATGAAACCCATTTCTAGTGAACACGTTTAAGAAAGATAAGGAATATAGTCTTATATGCAAAATAGACTCGGGATTATTTTAGCCTTTAAGATAATGCTAAGATTACCAGGTGATTTTGTTTGATTGCCTACAACTGATATAAAGTTAGTCTCAGAGGCAATTGGGAGATTTTTATTTTAAAACCCTCCTTTTAATGGAACAATAATTTAAACGAAAATTAAAAATAAAATTTCCCACGATACTGTCTTCCAGGTCCCCTGAAGAATTGTTGCTTGGCATTTGTCAAGGTCTTCTGGGCTGGTTCCCTAGTGCAGTTATTTTCTGATTATTGGTGTATTTTCATTCCTCGAAGGCAGCACAGGTCTTGGAGTATGTTTTATGGCAGTCAAATTTTGAGTTATAGTGATTATTTCCATTCATTCTATTAGTCTGTTCTAGTTAATACTTATTGTTTGATGAACAGGATGCCTGACTGAGATTAAAAGTGACTTAAAATAATCTTGTTTCATTTTTATGTATATCAAAAAATGCTTTAGCAATTCCAATGTGTTGGCTTTCTGACTTCTGAATGTGATAAAATTTAATATCAGGTCACATATTGTGAGTTTTGACTATGAAAAGCTGGGCATGACATGTACTTCAGAATGTTTTATTTATTATGAATGCTTGGTTGATCAGCTCTCCTCTGGCAGGTAAAGGAATTTGCTTCATTTTTTCCCTATATAGTTGAGGGTAACTATATTTTACTGTCATTTTGTAGAACATTAGTCTTTTGTTATAAATTTTTATGTGAGACCATGAAACTTAAAGTCCTGTGATTAAATTGTAGTTCCAGGCTCTGTTTTTGAGGTTTTTTGAAAGAGAATAAAGGTTGTGTTTGTCTTTCTCTGTTATCACATTACTTAGTTCTTTTGAACTATGATCTTAAAGGCACAAACAGTACCAGCCGTTCACCTCCTGTTACTAGCACATTTATATTTTAGCCAAACATCACCATTCTGAATGGTCTCCAGTCAACATGAACTCAGTCTTTTATTGCCAACTTCCTAAAACAGAATTTGAACTTATATCAACATTCTGTGTTTGGATGATGTCATCCTCAATTATTCTCTAAATCTGATAACTGACAATGTCTTTTAATTTTTAGTATGAAAGGTTATTAAATAATGTGATCGTAGCAGCCCACCGCTCTGCATTCTCCTCAGACTGTAAATCACAATTATCTGTTGGTATTTGAGACGCTGATGAGCAGGAAGTTTAAGACGAACGTGTCAGGCCTTTGCTTCAGTGGTCCCTGTGCTGTGTAGCATTTTTGTCCAGTTCATGATTCTGGTTAGTCCTGTCCTCATGTTTCCCAGCTGGAGGTATGTCTTCTAAGAGTGAGATGCAGAGTGAACCTCAGTGAACCTCAGCAGCTGGACTAGAAATCAACTTTGAGCCACTTTGTGAAGTAAAGGACAAACAAGTGTTCATTGAAATGCCTACCTCCAAAAAACAAAACAAAATAAAAACAGGAACAAAAACAAAACAAAAAAACCAAGCTGAGGTTTCGAGCATCTCCTCATCTGAAGTGGCTCAACAATCTGCTGGCTAGGCAACTGTTTAAAAACTAAGGACAGACTTTCCTTTGGAACAAGTGTTACTCAGTAAGATATAACCAAAATTCCTGACACACCAGGGACCTGATGGTGAGTCTCAGGGTTACAAACTGGCTCCTCATATGGACTTGGGTGGAAGTCATCAGTCAGGGTCAATACAATTAAAGCCTTTTTTTAGTTTGCACTGGACATTTCATTACAACCTACGTTTTTGCTGTAGGTAAAACAGAGCTGCTTAATTTTAGCTGCCAATTAAACAAATTTTTCCCCAGGAGAATTTCTCTTTATTCTCTCTCCAACAAACTGAAGAGTCACTTAAAGGACCCTACCAAATCGACTGGAACTCATTAAGGGCCTGAAGAGATCTCACGAAATAGCTTCACTTTGTAGAGAACTGGCTAAGTTGTTTAGCTGTTTATCAGTTGCTGATGTGGTAAAGCAGCATCTCCCATAAGTTCCCAATAAAAACAGCACCAAAAAAACAGTTTTTTGGGAAAACTACCCGCACTGTTGTATCCCTTGTGTGAAGATAGCTGTCCTGGTAAGATCTGTAGAGCACGCCAGCCTTCCTTCAGCTAACATACCTACGGGCTAAGTATGCATGGCACAGAGAAAACTAGGCAGTGAGACCAAACTCAGGAAGGGAAGGATGAAAGGGAAATATGGACCAGACATACTCCTAGGCTGACAGGGTGCCCAGAGGGCAAGGGGTCTGCTGCAAGGGAAGCTGTGGAGAAGGCGGGGTTGGCTCAGCCACAGGATCTGCTAATGAGGAGGCTTGTGGGAGATGCAGTGAGTGAAGAGTGGCTCACCCCCTTCCGCTCCCCTTAGCTTGAGTGCAATGTACCTTTCATTATGGGCAGAGGTATCGCCATCAGGAGCCTTCCTAGTCCCGCCCTCCCCACTGCCTCCTCTGTAAGCTCCCATAGTAGATGGCACGTTAAATAGTGAAAACTGTAAACCATGTGTCCTTAATAAAGATTGTTTTGTTTTTCTAAAAGAGCTTCGTTCCGGAAGCCCAAGGTGCCTATCGCTGTGTGGTCTCATTACCCTTATCCATGAAAATGGATGGGCTTCTAGAAAGTTATCAAGACCAAAGAGGTAGGAGTGTATTCCCTTTTACTTTGTTCAAAACTCTGTGTAACGTAAGCAGTTCAGGCTGGTGTGATGACTCAGTAGGTAAAGGCATTTCCTGCCAACCCTGCCAACCCCTGTTCTATCCCCAGGACCTACCTAGTGAAAGCGGGGAGCTCACTCCTGCAGGTTGGTCACCGACCTCCACCCTGGAGCTCTTTCATGTATATTCCCACACACCTGCACAAGCACAGACAAGAAACAAGTGTAATAATAAAGCAGTGTTCCTTAGATACAAAAGCAAAAAATCTAATATTGAATGGACAGCCACTGAAATGGATTGATAATTATTTTTAATTATTTATTTATTTGTTTTGTGTGCATGTGTGTGTGTGTGCACACGTGTGCGCAAGATGCATGCCCAAGAGCAAGTGTTCACAATCCATAACACACATGTGGAAGTGAGAGGGCAACTTTCAGGAGTCATTTTTTTTCAGATTTATGTTTTTATGTGTATGAGTGTTTTGCCTGCATGTATGCATGTGTGTCATGTACATGGCTGGTGCCCGAGGTCAGAGGCACTGGATCCCTGGAGCTGGAGTTATTGATGGTCACGAGCTATCATGTGAGTGCTAGGAGTCACTCACTAGTCCTCTGCTGGAACAGCAAGTCCTCTCCACTGCTGAGCCACCTCCCAGCCTCTCAGGAGTCTCTTCTGTCTTCCTACCACGTGGGGCCTAGGGCTCAAACACATAGCATCAAGCTGAGTGGGCAGTACCCTTGCCTGCTGAGTTACCTTGTTATTCCTGCATCAATATTTAAAAGAATTAATTTCGTTGTCAAGCAGTTTCATGTCTTTGTGTGTGTGTGTTCTGTATGTTGTGCTATGTGTGTAT